AAAATAGATGCCTAGGTTCAATATCTACAGTTCCTCAGAAAGTTGTGTTTTATTAAAAATATGAAACTTTTTATATATATTTTATTTATTTACATACAAAATATTACACTATATAAATATATTTATCTTTATATTTTGTGTTATATTAGTGTGTTTGCTTCCACAAACTTGTTTAAATGGTTTGTTTTTCTTCATACAGTGGAAAGTGCAGTAAGTTTTTTTATGCTATTTACAGAGGTTTATACTGTTGTTTACAAATGAAGTTTCATGTTTTATACTAATTTGATTAAGTTATTGTTGTGCAATAAAACAAACAATAACTCTTTCTCATTGCAGTATGTTCATCACAGCAGCCGTCGTCTATACAATATATGTGAATAAACCCAGAAAATTATAACCCCCCTCCTTTACTCTTGGAAAAATTGTTAGCCCCCCCTTTTCATATACAGAAAATGGAAAGGCCCCCCCTTAGAATTGCCCGGCACCCCCCAGGCCAGATTAACTGGTGATTCCCTTAGTACAAACAATTATACATAAACGCAAAAGATGTATTGTATGTTTTGTCATTTGTTAATAAATTGATTCAATACAACCACGTGACAATCGAAATGACAATTCTAATGTATATTTCCTGGAATCATAATCATAATCATATTACAATCCGTAATAGCTTAGTTGTTAGTGGTTATTTCTGCCACAATTTATGTTGTGGGTTCGAATTCCACCCTTGTACACTTTTGGTCAATGTATTAATCAGAGTGCAAGGTCTGATTTACAATGCCGGTTTGCAAGTTATCTGTAGCTAATATAATGCCGGTTTACTTTCTGCATATGAATACAAGTGTGACGTGTTGTTATTGGTGGATCGTGTTTTGAATTGTCAGGTGTTCCATCAGGTGACCCACAGGGTAGCCTGCTGGACACCCAGCTTTTCATCCCATACACCAATGACGTCACCGATGAGTTAGAATCGAATTCACTCCTGTTTGCGGATATTATGAGGATCTACCGCAATATTGCCACTTGCTGTATCCTACGAGTGATTTAAATAAATACCGCCAGTGACTCCTTCGATACCTACCAATCACCTAAAAAATGCCTAATTAAAGCTTGGAAACGTCTCAGTTTGTACTCGTTGAGCTGCGCATCAGGCAAAGTCGCCATCTTTGTTTATATGAGACCCATATATTTCGCGCATGCCTGGCGCGACGACTACTGCTCTTTAAACTGAACTTATCGATATGTAACCAGTCAATTTAATTTGAAAGTTAAGAAGTCATTGTTATATAGTGAACTGGATAATGATATTAGAAAAGGTTTCCGAACACAATGATCTCGGTGTATCGTGCTTGACAGTAAACTGAATTTTCGTAGTCATGGTAATACAATAATCAGTTCCTCAAATCGACCGTACGATTTGGTTTATGAAACCGAACTGTCACAATATATACACAAAAGCAAAAACAAACAAAAACATAGATACATTGAATTTGCTATACATTAGCTATGTTCGTAGCAAGTTGAAATATGGTAGTACAATTTGGAGCAGTGTAGGTCTAACACATAGTATGAGAATTGATATGGTCAAGCACAATTTCTGTACTTTTTTTGTAGACAGACTGGACTGGACACTAAAGTACCATGCCAGGTTATCTGTACAACTGTAAGTCTATCCATACATCTGTTACGTATTTAGTTAGCTAATGCAATACTGCCCTCAGTCGTTGAAATGTTCGTCAATCCACCACCCCCATCAATACTTGCAGCTCGAAGAAAATACTTTGATATGGTCTTTAAAAGTGTATCATGGTCGACTGTTGTAAAGATTTGTCTCTTTTATTTCGAAAATGTGCCACAACATTTTAGCCACATAGCTGTTTTTTATATTTCACCAGCTCGTGTTAAGACCACTAAGAATGGAGTTTTACATAGAATAGCCAATTTTTATAATTCAAATTTGGATTGTGATTCCTGTACCATGAGTCTATAGTTTTCTCGAATCTGTTATTTTATAAATATGTTGCTATTATTGTTGTTTTTGTGATACAACATTTATGTTTAAGGTAACCAACAAACCACTGTTATTGGCCAGTACTGACTGTTGTTGGTGAAATAAACTTGGAACTCGATTATACTAGTACGACATTGCCAAACATAGTACTAGTAGTCTGACTTGTAGTACGTTACTATACCTTTTCAAAAATATTTGCGCCCTCTATAGACGAATTACTTCTGAGATATAGAAATATCGTAGAGGGCGCCATGTTTATTGAGTTGTTGTGAACACGGGATTCATGTTTCTTTTCTATTCTAGTGTAAGTGTCTTTCAGAATGTCCGTAGGTGTATATATAGTTTGTTTGTTGACTCATTTTTTTTCGATTTAACCATATTTTTTAATTCATAAGTTCTTTGTTTATTCTTTCCTGTTTCCATTAGTTAGCTTATTATATTCAACTGTTTGTTTAGATTTTCAATTTTGTTGATTTTGGAGTACTGAATTTCAGTACTGAGCTAGTATTGCATAAAGTGTGTATGATTTTAAAGTTTAAGTGGGTGTCTACCAGGCTTTCCAAGCACAGAAAATGTGCCATATATAACAGCCATAAACATGTATTATTAAGCGTAATTAAATAACTTGCTTCTATTTGTTGCTTATTTCACCGAAATGCTGTATATTAATCTAAACTTTATAAGTGTATCGTTTCCTTGACAAACCAACGATTCAAAATATGAATGCAACACCAAATTTGACTAAAATTAAACACAGTGGAATTGCAACTTGTTACAATATTATAATCACCAATTCGCTAGAAAGCATTCTCAAAACATCGACTAATTGAGTATGTACGATTCCGGGGTTCCCGAAATCGACACCAACGGCAAACTCAGCAACTTCGCTGGTTCCTGGGGTCACTTGCGCGAAAGAAGATTCTCTCTGACGGAGCCACTTCACGATACCACACAGGTTAGAACCAATCACAAACAGGGACTAACAATATTTTTTCAGATTCATACTCTAGCTTTCCCTTACCCTAAACGCAAGTGTTTAGTGTTCGTGGGCGGTTTTGACTTTCCCGTTTGAGGCAAAAACCACGGACAGAAACCAGTCCAAGTTAGATAATCTTAATCAACTGTGTATCAATGTTAAAGGGCGGTAGTCGTCGCGCCACGCATGCGCGAGATATATGGGTCTAATATAAACAAAGATGGCGACTTTGTCTGTTGCGCAGATCAACGAGTACAAACTGAGACATTACCAAGCTTTAATTGGGTATTTTCAGGTGATTGGAAGGTATCGAAGGAGTCACTGGTGGTAATTAGTGTAAGTCGCGCCCAGGTCAAACCTCATACTTGTGATTTCAATTAAAAGAGCGCATTGGATTGTGGGAAAATCAATGTTTATCAACACAAATGTCGCGCATGCGCAGCGCGACGACTAGGCCGGTACTTGGAGAAAGCAGTATTTGAAACTATTTACCTACAAACAAACAAAAAGAAAATTTTATTTAAGGCCTGGACTAACAATTTAGTGTAAACCGGCCGTCGCAATGCGTCGTGTTCGACATGAACTCACGGCTGTTGTGTTATAGATACATATAACAAATAAACTTAAAGCGGGAGTGTCGTCACCTGCGCACGCGCGGGAATTGAGTCCCAAGCGACGATAACAACATACGCTAAAAACGCAAAGGCTCATGGGTAGACGCTTGTTTGTAAACAATGACACGCTATGGCCATCTGACGCATGCGCAGGTGACTACTCCCCGCTTTAACCTTAAAAAGATATTACATTATATTTAAAAATATATATTCCCTGAATACTTAATTTCCACAGTTTCCAATATGCACCTACCATGGTTCACTGCATGGTGCTGTTAGATGGAGAAGGCATGAAATGGCAATATTTTATTGCTTTATCTTTAAGATGTTTTGGGGCATATTGTTACAGTGTTTTCAGAAAAGCTCTTTACAAAATTTACGGGTTATAAACATAATTATTTATAAATTTGAAAACTGCCGTTGGCCAATCAGAACCTCCATGATCAGAACAATCGCCGTGACGTCATCACGGATGAAAGGACGACCCGATTTTAAAGAATGATTTTTTAGTCTACTTTTGCGAAAGCCAAGCTGAAAGCCTAAGTAGATCTCATTTTATTTCAGAAATAAATAACAAAAAACAAAAGCTCATTGATCAAGCTTTGAAGGTTAGGGAGGTACAAAAAACAAAACATTGAATGTTTTTTCTATAGACATAGAGATGCCTGTGGAATTACAGTAACAAATGTCATGAATTTCATCCTAAACATACTGCAATTACAGATGTTACAAGCTAATGACGGCCAAGTGAATTTCTTAATATTTTCTGGAATCTAACATTTTGTTTTTTTGCCCGACTGGAAATGTGCAAATAACCGAAAAGCCCCCCCCCCTGGCGATTCAATAAAATGAAACGTCCCAAATTGAAAATAGAATTTTGATTTTCGTCGTTCATTTCAAAATACTATTGTTGAAAACTAAATGTCGCCACCGCAGGTATAACTTCGAAAATCACAACTAAAATCTAAATTGTTATTACATACCGCAAATTCATAAATTGAAATTACGTCAAAAACCAAAATGTTAGATTCCAGAAAATATTAGAAATTCACTTGGCCGTCATTAGCCACGGACCTACAGGTTATATGTACGTGAAGCTCCACAGTATAAATTGTTACAACCATAGGTCATAAAAAGTGAGCGCGCCCTCAAGTTCCTTTGGGGTCATTTCATTTCTCAATGCAGTTGACCCTCTAGGAAGGTAGCCATTTTATTTGCCGGTACACGATTTGCACGTATTACGAGCGAAACACGAGTAAGTAATGCTTTCGACATTCAGAATATCTGTAATATCATATTGGAGCTCACCTGGAACTTACAGGGAACATGTAACGTGTGCGAAAACCAAATGCTTGTTAAAATGTACTACGTGCATATTACTGAGTGTACAATGGTTTCGTTCGCTAGCTTCACGGACGACTCGAAGAGGTTGTAAAATGAATTTATTGACTGTTTCAGTTGGGTGACTTAGAAAACACATTTCAAAGTCGTGTTTTAAAACATGGTAAAATAAATGTGTTTATGTTACTATTTTGACCTTGTGAGAAGTTGTCTTTATGTACTACTTCTAACTCTGTTGTTGACTTTGATGAATTCTTTCGTTTTTCAGATTGACCCTTTGTCCCATTGGCTTTGTGATTTTGCAAACAAAACACGAGACTAGTGACATATACTAGTAAAACAGTTGCATTCACGTTTACATTAGAGATTTCAACACCCTTGAATTTAAGAGAAATTGGTGAAGTTTGGCGCAAGCTGTTGCTGCCCAAGACGATTAATAATAATATTCTGTGAATAGGAATCCCAGGTGTGAAACTTGCGTTTTGTTATCCATGTTTTCTGGCAACTATTGTTCAATTCCATTAAAATCTCAAAAAATTGAATTGATGGAGTGATAACTAGCTTTTCTGTGTCTTGGGCGATTAAGAAAGTAGGAAAGCAAGGTCCTAAAAAAGAGTGGGTCCTAAGTTGGTCTTGAAGAGCGTAAATGCAACTGCAATAATCTCTCTTTGAACAGAGAAGTTAGAGATCTCTATTGATAACTGTTGAATTAATTTTACTTTGTTTGTGTAGTAAATTCAGATTTGTAACAAACTGGTCATGTGCAACGTAATGCTTTTATCAGTTGTGCTCATTGGTCACCTTTGGCTCATGTCATTTCCCAAATTAAATGGAGAAAGCAAGTAGACTATTATGTCACATTCAGTGGAAAAGAAAGAAAACAACTCCAAGTTGTACACGATATTGATAATGATTAGTGTTGATGGATTTACGCAACTATAATTGGTCACGCCAGAAAAACAGCATAAAGCATTGGATAATTTACAGTATGATATGTTAATCATTTTTATTGCATTCATTGTTATGCCAAATTGGCTCTATTGTTTATGATCCAAAATTAAACACTTGGGGAAACCCATACTCCTTAATGCCCTGGGGAGAACCCTGATAACATAATAAAATAGTCAAAACAAAAACAAAAACTGTTGTGCTTTTCATCCTAGGAAAAATTGAAAAATAATGCAGCGACACTTTTTTTTTTTTTTTTTTTTCGTATTGAGAATATATTCAACGTTTACCATTTATTTAATAATGCATTTGCTTTTTGAATACATGCATTAAAGGTTGATTTGGATCCACAAAATATTCTTTAACAAACATTCCCCTCATTCTACACTGTATCGTGTGGTGTAATTTATCAGTCTTTCATGCAAACCAAGTTTGTTCACAGCTATAGATGTCCTACACAAATTGAGCAATATTTATTTGTATTCACACTTAGTGCATGGTACCTACTAAATGCAATAAACGAACAAATAAACTAATATTACCACAGTGACAGTATAACCAGCTCTTCAGACTTGTAGCCAAGCAGGCTTCCAATAAAATTTAATTTGGAATCTTGAAAGAACATTTTTCCTGTTGTAAAATCACTTGTCAGTAAATATTGAGTTTCCACGCAAGTAAAACAACTTGTTTGAGGTGTAATAAAAACTATATTTAAACAAAAACATTTTTCATTAAAACACTATCTAGTTATTAACAAAATACACTGAAAATTCAATTGGAATCAACGTTCTTTTCAGTTGTACTGTATAATCCATTCAGAATGAATAAAGTCAACTGTTGCTAGAAAAAAATTTCAAGTGCATTTTTTAGTCTTAGTTATAATTTTGTTGACAGTGATTTTGACATAAAATTCAATGGATAGCTTTTCAACACATGTCTGCTACAAGCTATAGGAAGTCATACAAGTAGTTTTGTTGAATTGGCTTGGCTCGGCACATGGGGTAGATTTCTTGAAAAATGTTTGAATCACTCACAGGTTATCTTTCTCTGGAATCTGAAAAATAACAGAAAAAAAGTGCTGATACCAATTGCTGAAAAGCAAAGATGAAATAAATGGAGTATAATATAAACATGGATGAAAAAGATAGTTGAAACCATGTTTCGTCTGTCTATGTCGGTGCAATGCATCTTCTCTGATGTGTTGTAAAAATTATTATTAGTTTAAGAACTAATGGAGCTGTCAAACTGATGTAATAATTATCGTACCTTTGTCATTGTTGATCAGTGGCCATTGTGGAAGCCAAGCCTGAAGTTTTCTATAGACATTACAGAGCCTGCATTTTACAGAGGCTATGGGAAGTAATTGCCTCATTGCCCTACCTGACTTTGTAATGTAACAGGACAGAACAGTCACCTGTTTTGGCATCTGACCACATGTATTATAAACTCTAATCCAATTTAGCTTAGACAAATAATGTAACACAATCAAGGCGATTTCCTTGTTTGCCTATAAATACTACCATGCAAATTAGTTGGTCTTGCTCTCATCTTTGCCCTCATCTTTGCCCTGTACAATAGTCAACTGTGTAGAGCCATTTATTTTAAAGTAAAAAAAAAGAAGCAAGATCTAACATCCAAAGGTTTTAAACGTAACTGCTAATTGTTGATAGATGTTCAAAGTCTCAGGAAAGCACCGATCTCTCTATTGACAATGAACAGACTCTCTGATAAGACGAGAAAAGCTGAAAAGGCACAGAGTAGTCTATTTACAGACAGTAACAATAACAATATGTTATTAAAAATGAAATTATTTGAAACCACCCAACTACCCATTCCAGCTGACCCATTCTTACATATGCTGGTGAAATATGGGGAGTTTGCACAAATGGAAACACTTGGGACAAAACAAGTACAGAGAAATTTCATTTACAGTTTTGCAGACATTTAATGAATATTAATAACAAAGCTAGTAATATAGCAGTCAGAATGGACATAGGAAGACTGCTTCTTTTATGCACTTTACAATACACTTATGTATTATAAATACCTCAAATCAATTGATGAAAGTAACATAGCCTATAATGCATTGTTAGAGATGGAAAACAATAAAGAAATTAAGGATTACTGGTTAACAAAACTAGTTGAAACCACTAATCTTTACAAAATTAATTGTGACATTACAAAATAAAAATTTCAAGAAATAACACAGACATTATGAAAACATTTGGAACTCTGATATGGAGAGATCTGACTCCAAGCTGAGAACATTTAAACTATTTAAAAAAAGCATTCAAAAAGAAACCTACTTAAACCACCTTAGTGACAGACAGGCAATAGGCACACTAAGCAAATTTCGTTTAAGCTGCCACAAATTACACATAGAAACAGGCAGACACACAAGACCAAAAACAAAAATAGATGACAGAAAATGTCCCAACTGTACAGTAATTGAAGATGAAATTCATTTTATCACACAATGTCCACTATATACAGTTGAACGGAGACATCTGTACTCCTTGGTTTCTCATATAGAGAAATTTGATTCAGTCAGCAGTACACAAAGGTTCATATACATTATGAACAACACAAACAAGCAATGTATACTTGGTGTAATACACTACATACAAACAGCATTGGAAAAAAGAAAATCTCTTGCAGATTAAATCCTTATTATCTACATTTTTAATTTTAAATTTTATGTCGATAGCATATGTATTAGACATTTTATTATTTTAACATTTTGTTGTATTGTGAGTAAAAAAAAAAACTTTATTACACGTAACGTGTAAACCACAAAAGAAATGTCAAATTTTCTTTACGGTGGTAATAAAGATTATTATTATTATTATTATTATTATTATATGGAGTGCATGTGTGTATACATTTGTGTACACAGATATGTAGTTGATTTTCAGTGAAGAAAAATGCTAATCAAAAGTGAAAATACTGTCATTTTTTTAAAGATATGTGCAAAAAATTAAAATATGGGGTCACAGTTTCTAGTTTTGTTATTTTCAGGACATTCACTAATTGTTTGCTATGGCAAGGAAACATCTCATTATCTAAAAATTTTGCAGGTTGACTAGAAACAAAAATAGTTAACGTATTGTAGATTATTCACTCATTTGGACTTACAAAATGTATTCATGGCACTGATACACTGTATAATATGAGTTAAAATTGTATTATCCTGCTATACGTTCTCACAAAATATATTCTTTTCCTGATTTTTTCAGTTTATTATCATGACTGATAGATCTGAATACAAGACTGCACCATTTGATGCTAGATTTCCAAACCAGAACCAAACAAAGAACTGTTGGCAGAACTATGTAGATTTCTATAGATGTCAGAAAGTAAAGGGAGAAGATTACGAACCATGCACTTATTTCAAGAAAGTCTATAGATCTCTATGTCCTAATAAATGGGTAGGTAACTGTCTTATTTGCAAGAGATCTACCAAATTGACAGCCTCTGCCCAAATCACATGTTCTGTATTTCCTTTATTGTAAAATACTGTATTTTAGCTGGAATTAATTTTTGCTGAAAACACTTTTTGGGTGTTTTGTATGGAGCAGTGTTCTCCCCAGGCCTTTCAAGCACTGCGGGCCCGCGTCGCTTAGACAAACAGCCGCGTCGCTTTTGTTTCGCCCGCGATCCTTGAAATCCTGCCCGCGATGCTTATTCACGTTGTATGTTTACAAGTGTCAGCCTCGTCTAGCACATCTTTAAAACAATAACATGTATTGATCGAAAGGTAATCC